TCCAAATTTTCGCATTTCTATCGCGTCTTTTGGCAGCATGGTCCTCTGGCTGGCATTTATCATCCAAAACGGAGCAGTTGCGTCAACTGTTTGTCTGTATGAAATTGAACCCCTCACCCCCAGCGCTGTTCAAGTGCAAAGTTTAATTTAGCAGGAGCGCTTGTTTTGCTTTGTAAACATCAAGAAACAAACAGAGCCTCACGAAAGAAATTTTAAATAACTTTTATTTGAATGGTCACACACTAGGGTTTTATCCACAGAATTACGAGTTAGAACCACCTTGTACAGCATATCTGGATGGACGTTCTGCTGAGGACTATAGCTTTCATTTGAAGGTTTCTTCCACGGACTCAAACGTTTGAACTAATTTACATGCAAATATGCTCGGGGTGTGTCTTTTAATCAACGAATCAAACGACTAAAACAGGCCTCTTCGATTTGTTAATTTACTTTCAACTAAGAGAAATTGGAATAGGACTACATGATTTAAACTGCACCTACCTCACTGAAGGTAACAAGCCGAGTGTGTTTGTTGACCTTTGACAAGAACTTGTGAACTATCTTGTCCTCGTCTTGTTCACCTTCCAAGTTGAGCACATGGAGTTTCAAATTAGGAAAGCGGTTCTGGCGAATCTTCCAACCTACTTCGCCGTCAGTGGGATGATTCTCGTTCCACACAACCACCTCATCACCCGGGTTGAAATCCAGTCCATTGTTGATGACAGCGTTTGTGTCCGAGCCATTCCTACAGAAGGCAATCAGGTCTGGTTCCACGTTCAGCTGAGAGGCGATGAGGGTCCGTGCCGCCTGGATGGTGAACACGAAAGGCTTGATTCGCTTCTGGATGGAAATGTCACGGTTCCAGTCTAGAGCCATGGCGTTCATGGAGACCTGGACAGCATTGAAGATGACGGACAAGTTAGCGGCGTTGATTGGGACGCAGTCGGCGTAATCGTCGAATGCAAACAGGCTTCGGACGTACTTCCAGAGGTCGTCTTCATCTTTGCAGACTTTGATGTTCACTATGGTGGTCACGATCTCCTCAAACGTCTTCTGGAAGCTAAAACGGTACGGTGGGCAATACATTCTGACATTACATTTCCGAATAAGACATGGACTCCACTACCCTTTGCTCGTCTTGGCTGAATGCAAAAGTGCAGCGAAGAAAGGTTATTAAAACTAATTTCCTGAGTACCAAAGGTTCGATATCAAGCAAACATACATAGCAAAGCAGCGGGGCAAACATTTTTTGCGAGTTCCAATTCTTGGGATTTTGCAGATTTTTAGGCGGCCTGTAAATAAAGAGTTCATGCAAAATCTTGTTTTTTAACTGCAGTGGTTACATTACGCTGATTTTACCTACCTGCGCATTTAGATGCATCAACAACAATGTCTCGACAACAATAAGCAGTTGTAATTTCAACCTTGGGCGACTTGCAGAAAATCGCAGAGATAAAACCTCTCTACAAGTCGAGAAAAAATATTTTAATAGGTCCCACAAATACAAAAAAGCCAAACTCTGAAATCAACTCTATTCAGACCAGGCTTCTATTGGTCTTCTGGCACCGGGGGGAGGGGACGGGAAAGGGGGTTTGAAGTGTTCACCCTGTAACCCTAAGAGTATGAAAATGAAACCTGAAGAATTTATAGACCTTTATAGCACGTTGGTAGTCCGTAACAGGGAATTGGCCACATTCGATTTATCAGTATTCTAACATGGATCCGAAGCTTTCGGGTCAAAATTGTAATTTTGTTAAGTTTCTTTTGTCTCACAATTTCCAAGAGACTTGAGTACAAAGAAAACAGCACCAAAGATAGAAGTTTGTCCCCGGAGCCATGTTAGAATATCGAACGTGGCCTATTATGACGTCATGGTCACCTTCTTAGATCCGACATCTTGAATTGCATGGTTTTTGCTAAATGTTACAAAATCACCAAAACTGACTCTTAAATAATCAAAAATGATAAAAAGGTAAATATTTTAAAAAATAATGGTTACGGCCAGAAAATCCAAAAGTATGATTGCCTTGAAACAGCAAGAAGCTTGACAAATGACTTTTCACACAAAATTGTTTCCAGATTTAAGGATTTGATGATTTAAGGACCAGCAGCCATATTTTGAGTTCACTGATTTAATTCTTTTAACGTCAACATCGTTCAGCTTGGTGAGTGTCCCCCCACCCCCCGCTCAGTCCTCCCCTGGGCCCCCTTCAATTCCCCCTCTCGTCTGAATAGAGTTAAACTCACAGAAACATTTAGTGCCACACTGAATTTTTCTGATTCTTTTGAAGACATAAACAGTTGGACATCCGGCTGGATGATGTGGGTGATGTGGGTGATGTGCCAGATGTTTTAGTATGGGCAAACACTGAAAGGACAAGCTAACTGCAGCTAGTAATGACACGATAAGTCCACTCAGGGTTGTCTGTGCGATACAACCACGTTTATTAACCCCCAGGTAAACAAGACAAAAAGTTTAAACGATACAGGTAAATTTGAACTATGATCATCATATCAGAGCCAGTAAAACTGAAATACCAGTACGCGTTTAAAAACAGGAAAAAGTCTAGTCAATGTTAGCTTTCCTAAGAGTCATTGATTAAATGCCTGGAAACTTCGTCACTATCTATGCAGGGAGTAAAACTTTTACAGGTCTTAAAATCGCTCTACAGCTAATTACAAAGTCAAGTCCGTTTTAATCAAATACCATCATTGAGCTATAGTTCTTACTTCTAGGTGTAAAACTTTCACAGATCTTGAAATCGCTCTACAGCTAATTGTGAAGTCAAAAAGCCCGGTTAAATCACACATGATCATCAAGCTACAGTTCTTAAACTTTGTCTGTCCTTATCTACCATGAAAATAAAAGACTGAAGTCATAGCTGGTGAAGACAATCCTCTTGATCCTTTACTTCAGAACTTGAGTCAGCACGGTCTCGATAGCACGAACAACCCTGTCGATGTGCTTCTCAGTATTGTAGATGTGAGGTGAGAGGCGCATTCTGTTGCCCTTCTTGGTGGACACTCCAATCTTGTAGTCTTCGTACAGCGTGTCATAGAGCAGCTCGCTCAGTAACTTGTCACTCTCTTCTTCTTTGTCCTTACGTCTTCGTCTGCGACGGCCTTTTTCGGGCTCCGTAAACTTGAGGACTATAATTCCATGATACTGGTGATCCTCCGGCGGGGTCTCGATCTCGAACACGGGCTGCGGGAGATTTTGGAGCACGATGTCTAAACCTGTTCGCAACCGTAAGGAGAGTGCCTTGATCCTGTCTTCAATCTTCTGGAAACCGATAAGCCCCAGCAGATCTGCAGTGTACAGCAAGCCAATGAGGTTGGTGTCATTACGCTGACCAACCATCTCAAACTTGGACGCATCCGTAATTGGGAATGGCTTGCCGTAGGGGTCATCTGGGAGGGTGGGCGGGGGCTGCATCTCTCCGTTGTACCCGATGTCTTTGGGCGCGAAGTTTGGAATACGCTCTCTCTTCATGTACAGCATGCCGGTTTCCTTGGGTCCCAAGAACCACTTGTGGCTGCCTCCGCTGTAGCTGTCACAGTCCATGGCTTTAAGGTCATGGTTGAAAGCGCCCCAGGTCTGCGCGCCATCCACATGCACATGGACATTGGGGTTCTTCTTGTGGATCTGATCAACCAGAGCTTTAGTGGGCAGGCGCGTGCCACTTAAATGAGAAACCTAACGTAAAGAATAATAAACAAGTTGAGTTACTGGATTAGAGATTGTACAATAGCTGGGAGTTGGACATAAGTTACCGTTTAATTGAGTTAAATCGATTATAAGCAGAAGCGAGCTAAAACAACTTGCGTCGGAGAACAAATTAGGCTGAATATAATTTATTTTCCTAACTCTTATTTCTCAAAAAGTGAGAAAACTATTTCATTTTTCAAAACTTTTAAGCGACAGAGATAGTAACAGCATTTAGTGCTTGTCTTATGCACTAGGATGCACTAGGAGGTCTATGACATAAGGCACAATAGCCCTTTACAAGGTTAACGTTTCTCGTTTGCATTACAATATATCCAGGGAACAGGGATGGCGCAGTGGTGAGAGCGCTCGGCTCCCACCAATTGGCCTGGGTTCGATTCCGGCCCGGTGTCATATGTGGGTTGAGTTTGTTGTTGGTTCTCGCCTTGCTCCGAGGATTTTTCTCTGGGTTCTCCGGTTTTCTTCCTTCCACAAAAACCAACAGCTCTAAATTCCAATTCGACCAGAACAGAGGACGTGCATGAAAATCAGCTAAGGCTGATGTGTCTACCTCTCTAAATATTGTAATTTTATGTAATTTTTCCTCTTTACTCATGCTTATAAGGACAATTGCTATCTAAACCCCAGTTTGGTTTTAAAATTTTAATAATAATGATAAATGAATTCTATCGCCCGGGCAACA